GGGACTCTATGCGCTTCGGGCTCGCAAAGCGGGCAGGCGTGGCACCTCCTCGACACCACGACGGGGGTGCGCTGGGGGTGGGGGCCCTATGCGTTTCGGGCTCGCAAAGCGTGGCAGGCGTGGCATTTCCTCGGCACCAGAGGGGGCGCACTGGCCCTATGCGTTTCGGGCTCGCAAAGCGTGGCAGGCGTGGCACGTCCTCGACACCAGAGGGGGTGCGCTGGGGGTGGGGGCCCTATGCGTTCCAGGCTCGCAAAGCGTGGCAGGCGTGGCACTTCCTCGGCACCAGCGGGGGTGCGCTGGGGGTGGGGGCCCTATGCGTTTCGGGCTCGCAAAGCGTGACAGGCGTGGCACTTCCTCGGCACCAGCGGGGGTGCGCTGGGGGTGGGGGCCCTATGCGTTCCGGGCTCGCAAAAGCGTGGCAGGCGTGGCACTTCCTCGACACCACAGGGGCTGCGCTCGGGGCGGGGGCCCTATGCGGACCCCTCTGGGGCTCGTCCTGGGGCTCTCTTGGGCTGTCTTGGGGGCCTCTCGGGCCGTCTTGGGATCCTCTTGGGGTCGTCTTGGAGCCCTCTTAAGAGCCTGTGGGGCAGTCGTGAGGGCCTCTTAGGCCGTCTTGAACGCGGTGGAAGCCCAAAAGGCAAACACGCCAAAATTATCAGTTTCGTAATAGGAAATCGACGATGTTTGCTCATTGGGGTTCTATTGGGATGTCTCTTGTGCGCCTCCTGGGGGTCTCTTGGGGGCCTCTTGGGGCCTCTTGACCTCTTGGGGCCTCCTGGTGGCCTTTGGGGCCGAAATTTCGGAATTTGAATATGGTTGTGCACCTCTGGGGCACCTCTGGGGCTCGTCCTGGGGCTCTCTTGTGCTGTCTTGGGGGCCTCTCGGGCCCTCTTGGGACCCTGTTGGGGTCGTCTTGGAGCCCTCTTGGGAGCCCTCGGGCCGTCTTGGAAGCGGTGGAAGCCCAAAAGGCAAACGCGCCGAGAAATATCAGTTTCCCCATCGGGAATTTAGCTTATTGGGCCTCTCTCGGGCCTCTTGGGGCGTCTTCGGGGCCGTGGGAGTCGTCTTGAAAGGCGTCTGGAGCCATCGCTGCGGCCTCCTGGGCCTCCCTGCAGCCTCTTGTGGCCCCGTTGGCCCCCGGTCGCCGAAACCCTTTACAAACACATGGAAAACGACGCCCGGCCCCCACATTAGTGGTCGTGGCGCCGGCCGCCGACCCCCTGACCCGATCCCCCGTTCTACATCTACATATATATATATATATATATATATATATATATATATGTGTATGTATATATATGTGCATGCACATACATACATACCTACATACCTACATACATACATACATACATACATACATACATACATATGTATATAATTCATACGTGGTATACATATTTCAATGTCCTTCCCCATGTGCTACACATTCATAGAGGTTGCAGCCCGCACCATGAAGTCCCATTTCCCCCCTGGAGGGTCACACTAGGAATCAGGGAGTTCAAAGTGCGGGCGGGTGTCCTGGAGACGGAGATTTGGAAGTGGAAGGGTGCTGTTGAGTGTTGGGCGTGGTGATGGGGGCGGGGCGGACGGAAGGATTGGGGATGGATTCTATTGACTGGCGCGCGTGGTGTTGGAGACGAAGGTTGTTGATTATCTTGCGTGGTGTCGGAGACGGAGGGAATTGAATATCGGGATATGTTCAAGCTCGTGTTGTGGAAGGCCTTTGTTGAGTTTTACGTGTGGTGCTGCAGACGCAAACCGTTGATTATCTGTTGTGGTGTCGTAGACTTGGAGACTTGAGTGTACGGATATGTTCGAGTTCGTGTTGGGTGGGGTTATGTTGAGTAGTGGTTGTGGCGTTGAAGACAAAGGCTCTTGAGTATTGGGTGTGTTTTCGGTGATGGATGGGGTTCAGACGAAACATAGTTTCAAATTCGTCCCATACGTATACATGTATATATACACGCACATATGTATGGTAGTCCCCCTGGATTCGGGATAGTTGTTTCTCTTCATCACTAGATCTTGGAAACCTAACTAGGTTCGATGCTGAATTCAGTACAATCAGCTGGATCCGGGGTTTGCACCATTCCACATATACTCTCATTACATGCCGATAGGAATCGCATTGAAACCCGCTGTATTTGGCATCGACGCAATTCTGACTCAATTCTAGTTGGTCTCAACACAAATTAAGGTAGACGGGACTGGATATGGCATCTGTTCCATAATATCTGAACTGGATTTCGATCGGAATCCAGTTGAAATCCGCTGGAAGTGGGATTTGTGCTATTCCCATGACATCCGACATGTATCCCAACATGAATTACATAATAATGGAATGGATGTGGGATGTGTTCCTTCCCGAATGGACTTCTATTGGGTCTTAATCGGAATCCACATTGAACCAGGTGAGATTGGAGTCTGTTCCGTTTGAAGCATGTTTTTTTCGGTTGCAACGAGGAAGCCAAGGTGAATACGTTGGGTTTTGGACCTGCTCCACTAATCCCAATGTAGTCCCAGTCTGATACTTGAAATGAACTGGACCTTGGACCAGATGCATTACAGTTAGACTTTACTGGGGTTCCATTCGGCATCCACTGTGAATCGGCTGGATATGTATTTTTTATTTTCTCTCAACTATCTTTGGTTCATCATAAGGTACCAATCGGAACCATCTTGAAACCAACTAGATTCCGGGCGCTGCTCCATTCCAATTAGATAATAATTCGATTCTGATCGGGATCCAATTGACACCAGCTGGATCTGGGATCTGCTCCATTCCATTTCAATTTCACTGGGAATCGAATTTGAATCAGCTGTCTTTGGAATTTGCACCATTCCATGTTGAGTCTAACTTGATTCAGATATGACGGCAGTTCGAATTCCGCTGGATCTTGCATCCAGTCCGTTCCAACGAGATTCGAGCGTTGCTCCAGTTAGGCAATATATTGAAACCCGCTAGATCTGGGACCAAGTCGATTCCAATCAGATGCTTGTGGCATTCCAATGAGAAACCAATCGGGACCAGCTGGGTACACAGTGTGTGGCGCCCTCGCATCCACGAAACGCTATATATGCTTAGTGCTCACCGCGGCCTTCAGCCAGCACCTGCTTCTTGTCCCCCGGCCCCTTCTCCCCCTCTCTCTCTTCCCTTTTTCCTCCTCGTTGCAAGTCAAGAGCACCAATAATACAACGTGTTTGTCGTCTCGGGTGCCACGACATGCTGTTTATTAACATGGTATTGGGATCGTATTTTTGGTTTGGGAAGCAGCGGGACACTGTGTGATCCGAGTTGTTTTTTCTATCGGTGTTGACAGCCCAGGTGCTCCCCGCGGAGTGCCCCCCCCCAACACAACATCTTCCTGCTCTTCCGCTGCCTCCCAACCCTAAACCCCCCAACGACAATGAAGTCCCCAATGCAAGTCAAGAACACCAAGAGTACAACGTGTTTGTCGTCTCGGGTGCCACGACCTGCCTTTTTATGAATGTGTTATTGGGATCGTATTTTTGGTTTGTTTGGCATCGCTCGGACGTGTGCATTTTTCCTTCGGCGAGGACCATCGTGGAGCATCCTTGATCCTTTGGCGCAGAAACCGCGCACGAAGCTGAAAAAAAACACAGGGAATGGACGCCCGAGCGATGGCGAGTTTGGGAAGCAGCGGGACACGGTGTGCTCCGAACCTTTTCTTCTATATCGGTTTTGACAGCTCAAGTGCGCTCCCCGCGGAGTGCCCCCCCCAATACAGCATCCTTCTCCTCGTCCGGCGCCTCCCAGCCCAACCCCCCCCCAAAGACAAGGAAGTCACACATACAATGCAGAAACCAAAATAATACGAAACAAAACGCTCCGTAGCCATTTTGGCTGAAGCCACGGGCTCAGGGTCCGTATCCTGGGCTTATTTGCACACCATCTTTGTACATCGCTCGGTTCGCGCCTCTCTGGCCGACCCTACACGTACGAACTCGTTTTACGTAAATCCGTCTTTCCCTCTCCCTCAGTGGGATGGCGGCGCACAAGGCACCCCGGACCGCGCTGCTGGCGGGGATGCTCATCCATAGCATACCCATCGCACTTTCTGACAAGACGGGTTCTGTCATCGACGTGATGACGCCGCAACCGACGGTTCCTTCGGGAGCGCCCGTGATGGGCGGAGCTGGCGGAGTGGCGCCAGGACCCATCTCTGCAATTGGCGATCCACACTTGCAGAATGTTCTTGGTCAGCGGTTCGATTTGATGAAGCCCGGAAGCCATGTTCTGATAAACATCCCTCGGGGAAGGCACAGGAACGCATTGCTTCGTGTGCAGGCCGATGCGCGCCAACTTGGTAGTCAATGTGCAAGCATGTATTTCCAAGAACTGAATATCACGGGGGAGTGGGTGGAGGCGACGCTGGCCGGCGGTGTCCGTTTCCAAGCTCAGGGGGTGAATGACGAACAGCCGCAGTGGTTTGAGTTTGGGAAAGTACAAGTGAAAGTTGCCCATGGGCGCACCCAGGACGGGACCCAGTATTTGAATTTGTACGTCAAGCATCTTGGGCAGTCTGGCTTTGCAGTCGGAGGATTACTAGGAGAAGATGATCACACGGAGGCAGCGAAGCCTTCGAAGGCATGCGTTCACCACAACTCCTTTTTTCAGATGACGGACAACCGCCTATCCGACTTCTCGGTTGCAGAAGCAAGCTTCGCCTGACGTGTGCAGGAGTCGGGCGGTGGCAGGGCCCGGCGAATTAGAGGCATCGATCGCATACGTTGGTTTTTGCAGCCAATATCATCAGATGCTCGGGGGGCAGGACCTGGATTCAACTGTCCAGCCCGACTTGGCAGGTTTTGTAGTGTGGTGTCCATGTTTTGCGACGGTGATCGTGCCTTCCCCTTTCGCAGACTCTGCCACGCCAGCCAATGCGATCAGCATTGCAGACGGGTCTGTCCATCGATGCTAGGTGAAATAATCCATGTATGGCGTTTGCAGGCCAGACGGTTAGCGTCTGTGGCCGCGCGTTCTTGTGGATCTCGCCTGACGACACGTACCTGGGATGTGGTCTCTCTTCTAGGCAACCTGAGGTGCGCATGAACTCTTAGACTGGCGGCCCGGCTCTCCTGCTCTAAACCGACCCGGCGGTTTAGAGCAGGACTTGCCGATTGCGTTGTTCCACCGAACAAGGGTGACGTGACAAACTTGCGTTGTCCCACTGACGACAACTACCAAGATTTTCCTGCTTCAGCTAGAAAAAAAAACGAAACAAAACGCAACACACACTTTTTTTACCTGCACGAAGGAGCCCAGTGGCACGACGGACGACGGACGAACAAAGGACGACGACGAAAACGACCAGAGGCCTAACGACGAACACGACGAAAAACGAAAACGACGAAAACGACGAACAAAACGCAACACACACACACACATACACAGCGTTTCGTGGCAGCGCGGGCGCCGAACACCGCGTGTGCGCCGTGCTTTCGCTTTGCAGCAAAACAGTGGAAACGAAAGGATAATGAGGGTGAAAGGGGAAGACGGAGAAGGAGGAGGTGCTTGGGGGGGAGGCCGCGGGGAGCACGTGAGCTTCCAAAACAAAAAACAAACAGATAGAACACAGTATGTC